TTAAATAAGACAGTGTGCACAAAGCACGTGGCACAATCTGAAGCAGTGGTAGGAACTAAACGTGATCGTTCTTACTAGGAACATTGAACACATTGCAAGAATGGCATTTTACTAATAAAACAGTCACTAACATCTTATCCTTTGTAGACCACCATGGACTTTTAGACCTTCTATATGCTCCTTGATGGTCTTGTAACAGGGAGGAAGAGCATTAAGCTTGAGTAACAAAAGTATGAAAAAGCAACCTCCTGAACAAACTAGGAGGTTTATTTTTCTCTTTCAAGAAGTTAAGAGATAGATAATCCAGGGCTGTCTGCGAATTCTATGAGGAACCAGGCCCCTTCTGACTTCCCGCTCTGCCACTCCTAGTGTGTGACTTTAGTTCTGTGGTTAATCCACGGTGCCAAGATGGCAGCTCCTACCCCCCTGGCAGCCTAGTTTCAAAGACAGGAAAGGTGAAGCACAAAAGGCCTGATTCTTCCCAGAGACTCTCATGAAAGAGGGAACAGATGAAACTGGGGTGTCCCAGAGAAAGCAAGTGAGTTCATTGGAAACTATTCCTAGAAAGTATCCCAGAGACTCTGGGCTGGAGCCAGTGAGATGTTTATAGGATACCTGAGGCTAGTCATTGGCAGGAAGACAACTGTAAGGGCCCTGAGCTTGTTTGGATGTCTTATCTCACTTGATTCCATTGAACTAGGCCTTCTGGAGAATGCCTGGCTACCAAAGGCATGAAGATATCAGACCCTTTAGCAGAATGTTGGATCTGATTAGAGCCAGTCCTAAATATAAGGTGAAGAGGAGATACCTGCTTTTCTCTCTACAACTGCAGGAAGTGCTGATGACCTAGGAGTCCCTGGTAAAAAGGAAAAGGTGATGAGCTTTGAGCTAGAAAGCCTCAGGTGGGGTCCCAACTTTGCCACTCACCAGCTACTCAAGCCAAGTCTCTGCCCCTGCCTCTGCTGACTAGGGATTTATTACTCTTAGAACATTGTTGTGGAAATGAAATGAGATACACTATACATTAATATAAACTCGTCTAAGGAATTATCATTGTCTGAACGTTCCTCCTTACCCAGCAGAGCTTAAAGGGGCAGCCCAAGCCTGGCTTGCAGGGAGAATTAAGTGGGATATGGATAGGATCCTAAGGAAAATCTAAAAACAACATCCATATAGAATCATAAATATGTCATCTTTTATGTCTGGCCTCTTTTATTTAACATGTTTCATGCTTCATTCATGTCATAATATGTATCAATACTCCATTCCTTTCTACTGCCAAGTAATATTCCATTAAATGGGTGTACCATGTCATGTTCCATTCATCTGCTGATTGACATTGAGTTGTTTCCACTTTGGGGCTATTTTGAATAATGCTGCTATAACCATTCATGTACATGTATTTGTGTGGACATATGTTTATAGGCAAGGGAATATTAGGGAATACACAGAGAAGGCTGTTCTGTGAGAGTTTGTCTGCTGGAATGATTCCTTGAGGCCCTGGTTCTCCTGCTGCGGGGCACTGGGGCAGAGCTCATGGGACTTCCATAGCATAAGAGGTCAAGCGTCAGATGAGCCCTGCTGTGTACCTTCCCTCTCTCACTCTAATACCAGGGTACCGGTCCTGTCTTATAATGACTCATGCTGAGCATTATTGCTGCTTGCTGAGGAAGGAGTTGGCTATGTTTAAAAGCCAGAGGCTGCTTATTATCACCTTCAGCAGGTTACACACTCTCCCTGAGCTTCAGTTGTCCTATCTGGGAGGTGGAGGTAATTACATCTGCGATGCAGGGTTTATGTGAGGATGAGGAGATGCCTGTGAGATACCTTGTTGACAGCAGGTGCTATTGCTGTTGACAATTGCCCTGTGCAGTAGGGCCAGTAAGGATGCAAAGGGCACAGGTCAGAGACAGGGCAGCACAAAGCTCTTTGAATGCCCTAGCTGTTTTAGAAATGTTTTAATCACTCTTAGCGTAAGTACTCTATTTGTTTGCTAGGGCTGCCATAACAGACTTCAACAACAGAAGTCTGTTGTCTCACCATTCCGGAGGCTGGAAATCTGAGATCAGGTTCTCATCAGGCTTGGTTTCTCCTGAAGCTCCTCTTCCTGGCTTGCAGACGGCCACCTTCTTTCTCTCTGTGTCCTCTCATGGCCTTTTCTCTGTGTGGACACATCCCTGGTATCTCTTTGTGTGTTCAAATTCCTCATTTTATAAGGACATTGGACAGATTGGACTAGGCTTTGCCTGAATGGCTTCATTTTAACTTGATCACTTCTTTAAAGGCCCTGCCCCCTAATATAGTCTCATTCTGAGGTACTGGAGGGCGGGGGGGGAGGTTAGAGCTTCAACATATGAATTTTGGGAGGGACCCATTTCAGCCCATAACAAGCACCTAGGGAGTATCTACTCTGTCCTAGACCCTGGAAATCAAGACCCTAGGCCTGGCTCACAGGGCACTCTCAGTCTTTCGTGAGAGAAAAATAGGCAGATAATTGCAGAATGCCTGTCCTCCATTTACCCTGCCTCATGCGTGTTTCATGACTGAGTTTGCAATCATGTGTCACCAGATACGCATTCAACACTCTGACCACCTCAGAATCCCAGTTCTGTCAGCTGGGAACCCTCTAGGTCTTTGCCAGCTCAGGAAAAGAATTTATCAGTGTCCATTTAGAAACAGGAAATAGGTTAGCTAAGAACCCTCCTATTTCTGCTAAAGTTTTAGCACCTTCAAACACAGCCAGCCAGGGGCTGCCCCACACTCCCTGCATGCCCAGTGGCCCAAATCCAGGACTGTCCCATGTCCTCCCCACACCCGACCACACCTCCTCTACATCTTTGCTTTACACCTTCCAAGGTGAGAGCAGCATAATGTTAAGAATTATTGAGCACCTACTGTGTGTCAGGCAATAATTAGACATTTTACATATGTCATCTAATTTGATCCTCAAAACAGCCACAATTCACCTCATTTTACAGATAAGGGAGGTGAACATCCCCAAGGTGACACAGTCAGTTAATAGCACGCTTTACACGCGGATCTCTCCAGTTTCACTAAAATCTTAACTCTCAGCAGAGTGAACAGCTGCTGGTCTCTGTGATGATAATGCATGATTGATTATGTTCATTGTTCATTTTAGGCTGGGTTCCCTGGAAACAGTGCCTGGGAGGACTTTGGGTGTGTAGGACTTATTAAGGGTATGTACACAGGAGAAAAGAGAAAGGGAAGCAGGAAGGGAGGCAGGGCAAGGAGCTGAGCGAGGATGCGCTCTCTGCTAGTCTAGGGTCCGCCTGATCCCATGGTGAGTGCTGAAGCACCTGTCACCTGCAGAACTGGCTCTACGTTGAGGCAAGAGAGACTCACCTTTTAATTCCAGGTCAGTCAGTTGCTGGCTGCAGGTTTAGTGGATGAAGAGGGTGTTTAACTGGCAGCCCCACCAGCTAAGGGCAATTCCCCATAGGAGGTCCAGCCGTGAGCTCATAGTGCCAAGCACCAGGCTGGTAGACAGGACTTGTTCTGGACACCAACAGCTTCCACTTCTCACCAACTCTAGGAGTATTGACGTTCGAAATGAAGAACCCAGGGATCTTCAATGCCTTGGTCCAAGGGAATGTATCTTTACCACTTCAGATCCCACAGCAAGTCACTATAGGAGATATTTTTGCACTAGAGGGTGGGAGATGGGGGCTTTAGAACCCCCAAGTTATGTCTATAAATTGTCTGATGATACAGTCGTAAGTCCCAACAGCATTTACAGTTTAACAAAGTGATTTTTGTGTCCATTAGTCATTTGATCATCACAACCTTATGAAGAAGATGGCAGGATTCATTAGCCCATTTTACAGGGACATTAAGTAGTTGAATTACAGAACTTTGATGTCATAAAGCTGGACCTAGGACTTGCTTCTGACTTGAGATGGAGGGCCCCTCTGACATTCCATACACCATCTGGTGGGATAGACTTGGCCAAAAACATAATACCTCACCTAGGGTGACCAGCCATTGCTGTTTCCCCAGGATGTTTCCAGTTTAAAAACTGAAAGTCCCACATTCAGGGAAACCCAGGGGCAACTTACTCATTAAACAGAAAAGGCTATGCCTGGGACCCATGATACCTGTAAGGGCCCATAAAAGGGTTCTAACATTAATTCCTTTTAACAGCACAGAAAAAAATGACTATAATAATAGTAAATATGTGTTAATGCAGCCAGCCTGGATTATCATGTATCTTTATACTAACACAGTCATAAACTATTGTTTTTTAATTGTGGGTGTGCATGTGTGGGTGTATATGAAGGAAGAAGCCCACAAAAGCAGAAGTTCCTAAGGCTCAAAGTCATAATGCAGCCCTGAAAGCACCACCAGTCCCGGGCAAACTAGGACTGAGCATCACCTCAATCTCTTAGCAGCTTGGTGGTAGCAGTTGGTCACGGCTAAGAATCTTAGGGCTTTCCCATGCAGTGATTACCTAAAATTAGCATTGTTTCCCCAGATCTCTGATTTCCATGCTCTGGCTGCTTCCATTCTGATCACACATCAGTTTCCTGGGTTCTCTTTGGCTTCCCCAGAGAAGGAGTCAGTGAGCCCTTCTGTGTATTATGCTGTGAATCCATGTCTCCATCTCCCTGTTGATGTGACCAAGCCCTTGTCTTACTCATCTGTTAGTCTCCAGCTCCTGGCTCTGTGCTAGGCACACTGGAGGCCCTCGGTGCATATTTATTCATTGAATAAATAAATTAATTGATGGCCTGATTCAGCCAATTGCTTGTCCTATAACACAGGGGACACTGAATACTCCTAGCCTCAGCTTCTGCATCTGTCAAACATTGGAATAGATGAACTCTCAGGTTCTCAGGGGTTACTTTATGTCATGATATTTGTTAAACCAGATCACATGACTGTTAATGTCACTGAAAAATGCACATTAGCAATGAACAAGTTCCTGGATGATTCTTTGTTGAGTCTTTGTTGTGTTCGCCCCATCCCCATTTTTCTTTTAGATCCTTACTGGAAGGCAGCATGTCCAATTTCACCTTGAGAAAAGCATCTCCCACAGGAAACGGTAATGTAGATGATAATTCCTTTGTTCAGAAAACTTAAAAATCTGGGGAAATAATTCACAGGCCCTGATTCTTTTATATAGACAGATAATGCTTAGAAACAACAGTCTTAGTTAGCATGGTCAAAGTTAGGCTTAGGAAAAAGTAAGAGTTCTACAGCTTTTATTTACATAATTACGATTTAAAGATTTCTTTTAAAAATTCATCAAAAATGTCCTTTTCTTGTATGTGTGACCTGTGCTTCTGGCTCCCATGAGATCAGAGAATTAAGTTATGTATAACCAAAAGCACCAGGGCTTACTGACTGTTATTTACTAGGTACTTTAAAAACAGTCTTGTGTGTACTTCCGAGGCATATTTCTTTTTGAGCAAATGGCCAGCCCACTTAGCCGTTCCTTGTTTTCTCCTAGGCCTGTGGTTCTACATTCCCAGGTGCTGGGCAGGGCTTCACTATGTGCACTGGCAGTTTCAGTTGGCACCCGAGCAGTTTTATGTGTTATCTTTGATGATGGGGTGTGGGGTTTGTTCTTTCTTGCCAGCACATCCTCCTTTGAAACAGTACTGGACTTGCCAGCCTAGAAGATTGATGCTGTCCAATCAGATGCGCCTCTCCAGATTTCCAGGTTAACAAATGCACACTCACCTTCATGCAACTACATCTCTCGATTTTTTGTTTTTCTGTTGATAGATATGAAGGGTACCACTCAGGGGATCACATTGAGGCAGCAGGGTTTTCATGAGGTGAACAAAAGAAGGGCTTTGTTACAGGATAACAGCTGGATAAAGAAACGTCCTGAAGAAGAAAGGTAAGAGGGTGTGGAGAGGGTGGGTGGGTGGATGAATAGAAGAAGCCATTCTCTGTTTGAGAAGCTAACAGCCATCTAGAAAGTGAATGCATTCCTTCTAAAATACTTTGCTGTACAGCCTAATCTTTGGTAAGACTTAGTAAGCATAAATTGGTTACATCAGATTTGTAGATATATCTCTACTATGTTTAATATCCACATACCTAAGAGAACGTGAGTCATTAGTGAGAGATAGAAGGGTTTCACTGTTATCACTAGAATAAACATTGGTGCCTATGCGATAAACTGAAAAGAAAACATGACATTCGTTTCCAAAAAGGTAATATTTAATCAGTGGTAGGGAGATTCCTGGTGCACGTCGATCATGTCACTTGAAGCAAACACATGCAATTATGATTCCCAATTTACAAATTTAACCTATCTAAAATTTCCTTATGTACAAGTGAAATTGATGAATTCTCAACTCATTTCAGTCCCAACTGGCTATATACCTCTAGGTACAGGAAGGTGGTAAATGCAATATCACTTTTTAAGGAAAAAGACTTACCACCAAGAAAGAATTGTCTGCTTTGAGGATTGCTTCTATGAGCTCTATGTTTAAAGATCTGAAAACTATGATCACAGGCATATGGCCCATTGCTAACATAGATTTACAACAGACAGTTGTCCAGACCAGCTATATTTATTATAAATTATACACACACACACACACACACACATACACATATGCATATGTTCTTTGATTTCCTCCTATGTGTCAGGCTAGATATTAGGTACTTTACATATGAAACATCGCTAAATCTCACAACAATCATACAAGGTAGGTATTACATCCTCATTTTACAGAAGAGGAATCTGAGGCTCAGAAAAGTTAGGTAACTTGTCCAGTGGCACACAGTTACTAAGTGGTAGAGTTGAGAGTAACATGACGCATTTTCTTTCCATTACAACAATGGTTCGCAATCAGGGACAGTTTTGCTCCCAGGGGATGTTTGGCAAGGTCAGGAGACATTTTTTAGATATCAAAATTGGGGAATGCTTCTGACATCTAGTGGGTAGAGACCAAAAGTGCCGCTAAGCATCCTTCAATGCACAGGACACTCCCCACAACAAAAAATGATCAAATCCATAATGTCAGTAGCACTGAGGTTGGGAAGCCCTGCATTCTGGGATACTTACCCTAAACTTCTACTAAGCTGTCCGTACGTGGTTATTTGAGGAGCATACTTGTAGCTGTTAAATAAAAGTGTCTATTAACTTCTGTTATTGAATGTTCTTATTTTAAAGAACTAGAGGGGTATTTGGAGACTCACGCTAAGTTCTGGAGTTAACACTCTTAGACAACAATCCTTTTATAAAGCAGCATTACTGCTTCTGTTGGAGCCCAACATGCCATTTCTACTTTTCCATGGTATAGAGTGATGTCAAAGATGGATCATGAATTTTGGGTTGCAAATATTTGCACAGATGTGTAGAGATAGAGACGTCGAAGGCAATTTGCAGTTGGTAGGAGTGATGGTTTTATGCCAGACACACCTCCCTATAAAGGCCCAGGGAAGCCAGCTTGGACGGCATGGCAGCTGCTGAATGAAGGGGAAATTGGCTCCGATGCCTCCCCCACCCCCACTGGTCCAGATCTGGGCTGCGTGTTATGATTCTTCTTCAGGCAAAGTTGTGTCTGGTGTCTGCTGCTCTCCCACAGGTTTGGCGGGGGAATACCAGAGAGATGGAAGAGTTCCCCTGGGATCTTTGAGAGTGTATATTTGCTGGAATTGTTTCAGTTTCACTGTTCATCTTTCTTTTTAATTATCTACTGCAGTTCTTTTATAGCTTTATTGTAAGTGGTTCCAGAGTGTTGAGTAATTCTGAGTGGAGCAGAACCAGGAGAAATGTAGTATTTCAGGTTGGGTTGGGTTGACATGAAAAAGATTCAGATACTAACTCTCTGCCTTGGTTCAAGGCCAAAGGCTCTGCTACATGTTTTGACATTTCCTAAAGTTGCCTGTATGTTCAGATCCACTATACAAAGTAAGAAAAACATAGCTTTGGGATTTTATGTATGAAGGGTTATTGCAAGGTTGACCAGTAGAAAAAGCAAAAGTTTGGAATAAAAGGATCTGGGCGCTAAACCCACTCCTGTCACTTGCTAACCTCTCAACCTTAGAAAAGCCACAGAATTCCTCACCAGTTTTCTCATCTGTGAATTGAATATGACAATGTCTTCTCTTCATAATTCATAGGGTTATTTTAAGGACCAAACAGAACAAACTATGTAATATCATGGTTCAAAAATAAGCTAAATCTCTTGTGAACAATCAATCTGCTTAACCACAAATATTGTTACTTATTTTCCCACATTTTGTTGAGAACTATCAAGGCCATCAAGTGAAAGTTTTCAGACATAATGGGCTTAACTAAGTTTAAAACATGTTTGTAGAAACATGTTTTGCCTTCCTGCCGGAAAGGACTCTTCTAATATAAACAAAGTAGATGGCTGTTGAGTTCCCACACTGATGAAAAAAGAAGAAACAAAAAAACAAACCCTCATTCCATTATTGAATCACATGGACATCTCTGGATAAATTAGAATAATGATCGTTTGTTCTGTTAAACTTGTTTCTTTTCACCATGCTCTTTCAACTGGTGATTGGTTAAAATAAATACATAGTTGTGCTTTTATGCTTGAAGTAAAATGAATTAACCTTGCCAAACATTGTGAGCTCTTTCCTGTCTCCTTTATTGAATGCTTACTAAATACTGTGATACCTTTTCATGGGACTTAATTTCTTCTTTCTCTGCAGAGAAGAAAATTATGGTAGGGCGGTGCTCCAGCGACATAACTCCCACGATGCCTTGGACAGGTGGGTGTTTCAGACAAGTTACATCATTAGCAGAAACACAAAGGCGGTCTTTTTTGAAAGGAGACTTGTTCAAGACAGGCTGAGTATTTGTGGTTAGCCTCAGGCTTTCCCAGATGCTCTGGGCACGTGAAGGAGGATCTGTGATCTCACCAAGGGGTTTCCACAGAGAAACCTGTGCTTCTTCAACCTTGTGCTTCCACAACTACAGACTGAACGTGGAGACTAACCTCCTCTGCCCACTCCACCGAAATGGCCCTCCTGACAGGATGGGGAAAGGACTCCCATAGAAACACGATGGGCTGTCTCTGAACCTTAGAGACAATGACCCTTGCTTGACAGAAATAACAGCTGAGTTCCCTTGCTTTATGGCAAAGTACATTACTTTTTAGAAACTCCTGGGCTTGTGGAAAACTACTAAATGATACTCAGTGGCAAATAGTCTGACAAATGCGAATTAGCAGGGAAATTCAAACAAAACTAGTAACCACAATGATGTAAATAATCTAAGGCTGATCAGATAAATAGATAATATTCTTACTAAAACACATTTGCACTCACACAGATACAAACCACCACACCCATCAGAAGAACCTAATTATTTATCAGACATAAGTTTTATCTGGTCCAGTAGCCCGTGTCTGTCACCAAGAGGCACTTAGTAAGGGACTGTGATTATGCTTCGTGGTGGGGACCTCAAAACAGTAAATAGACACCTTGAATATGTCTGTTCTGAAAATTTTTATCTGTGGATTTTTCTAAGCCATTTAAAAACCATTCATAATTTTGACCTGTTCCAGGGGTCCTGAGTTTACCCCTCTCTACACAAAGTATCTGATTGTTTTTTTGGTTCCCAGTCTTAGTTCATCCAGTTGCCTGTTCTGTGACTTGACAGTAATTCAACAGACTCCCCCTGTGCCTTCTCCTTGGTCTTCATGATTTTTAAGATTACAGCCTTGTTCTCCGTTGGCCCTCATCTCAACAAACAAAAGGAACCTGATCATTTGAGTCCAGGCATCAATGTGAAATGCTCCCTCCACTTTATTTGCCTTTCTCTGGAACTATTAGAGAACAAATGTACTTGTTTTGAAGTGACTAAACTTCATGTTCTTAGTGTGTTAAAGTGTTTAAGAATGAAATCTTAATTCCCTTCTATGCTTATTTTATATTTTAAACTGTGTTGGTTACTTGAACCCTTCCTGTTAGTGGACAGCATTTTAGCTAAAGCAACACACTGAGCTTTTATCTTCAGTCACAAAAATCTGTTAAGCCTGAGTCATTTTCCTCTTGACCCACAACTAGTGTCTCAAAGTACATATTCCTAAAAGGTAGTGTGGGTTATTTTTCCCCTTGCATTTGCTCGAGTGGACACCCACGTGACACTTTTCTGCCCATTTGCAGAGGCTGTGTCCGCTTTGGTGTTCACCCAGCACCACTTTGGAGCGCCTGCTGGGTGCTGGCATTGTGCCAGGTGCTGGGGATGCAAAGATGCATAAGGCACCATCTGTGACCTTCAGGAGCTCTTACATCCATGGGAAAAGATGGAACCATAAGCACAAACACTAAAATTCACTGTCAAAAGTGGTTGTAGAAGTGTGTGTGAGCGCCATGGAGATGAGAGAAAGTGATGAGCTCGACCTGAATCATCAGGAGACTCACCAATGAAGTAGTCATTGGTGTTGGTGCTACTGTGTGAAGGATGGAGAGAGGGGTGGGTTTCCAAGTAGGAAAGGGTGGCTGGTGAGCGTGGGGTGGGGAAAGAAGCACTTCCAGCAGAAGAGATAATATGTCAGAGTTCCACATGCACAGAGACTGAAAATAAAGGAAAGGGAAAACAATATATTCTCATCACCCTAGAAAACAATCTTCATAGTGTGCACAAACCAGGACAGTTTACTGTGTCCTTCCTCCGCCAGATCATTAAAACACATCGAATGAGGCTGAAAGCACAAATAGTACCTGTGGAGATGCCTTTGGCGAGCTAGACACGATTCCCAAGTCTGGGAACAAAACAAAATCCCTGCTTTCATAGAACTTGCTTCCTAGTTAAAAGGAGAGACTGAAAATAAATAAACACGATATAATACGTCCTGTGGTGATAAGTGCCTGAAAGAATAAAGCCCCTAATAAGACATAAAGTGATAGCGTCTGTGAAGAGGCTGTTTTATGGAAGGGGGTCAGATGGCCCTGCAGCACCTATTTGCACTCATGCATTACACATGCTGGTGAGCCACACCGTGATTTCACTCTGAGTTTTCTTAAAAGCATGGGGAATTGCATTAGGCATATATATATATATATTTTTTTAACCTTTTTCTTGCCTTAACTCTGACACTGTTCTCTCTGCCTCTGTTTAAAATTGTTCACGTCTGTTTATCCCTAAGACCCAGCTCAACTTGCACCTCATCCAGAGAGCTTTCTCTGATTCCACGTCTACAAACAAGCTTTCTCACCTTTGAGCTTCCTTGTACTTGACCTGAACCTCGATTATGGCCCTGACTGCTTTCTCCCCTTGGATTTACATGTCTGATTTGTCCCTCTAGCTCTGTGTGTAGGGTCCATAGTTGATTCATTCTTGATTTCCTCACAGTCATCAGCACAGGACATTGTATTTTGTTTACCTCCAAATACTTGCTTAATAAAAATATACTACATCAAGTTAAAAATTACATCTTGAATAGTATGCTGTTTTGGTACTTTTTCTGATTCAATACCTTTGATCTGTCAACTTCAAATGATGCTTTGAAATGCAAATAATACAGTAAATCAAGGTATAATTCTCCAAAGAGCTTGCTTCCCCTGTATCACAGGGTTATATAAGGCATTAAATAGTTTTTTTTTTTTTTTGCTGATTGATCAGTCTGATCAAGATATCCCCACTGCTTTGAAGATCATGATTCCTACTATTGAGCCCTCCATCCTCTTCCCTTATTTTGTTCTCTTCTCCCCACGCCCCACCTTTTTACTGCTTATCTGTCTGCCTCAACTCTGCCCGTCTCTCCTCTCTCTGCTTCTCCTTTTCTCCCCTCTCTTCTCCTCTCCTTCCCATCCATCCTTTCTCTATTCTCCCACTTTCTTCTTTTCATTTCTTTCCAGCGTCTCCTGTTTCTCTTTTCCTTTCTTCTCACTCCCTCTCTGCTGCCAGCAAGGTCTCTTCCTCCAACCCTGTCCACGGTGCTGAACTCTTAACAAAGCAGTTTGTATGTAGCTGTTGTGCTGGCTTATGGTGCTGCTGAAACTCTGCAAACAGAACAGAGATTATAAAGGATTGAGTTTCTATTACATAAAAGTCGCCATCATTGACAAGAGTGCATATTACTTATTAACCATTTTGTATGGTGCGTTTTTTGTTTTCCATATCCTTATCCCCATTTGAATGTGTTACTATAGTTAGAAATAACTGGACCTAGAGAAGAAGTCTTATTAGCATGGGGAATTGGGTTTGCCATAATTTATCTATCCAAGCCAAAGCCTGGGAAGACTTCAGTACTCCAGTTCTGTCTTGGTAACATGTACATCTTCTACATGAATAGGCAAAAATTTTACAAACTATTTACAAACTATTTATATTTATAAACTATTTTTTGTAGTTTATTTGGTATTTCTATGATTATTTTTTGCTACAGGAACACAAATGAGAGAGATGAGCCAAAAGCCACAATCAGTCGGTACAGATCTGATGACACTTTGGACAGGTGAGGTGTTTTGAATCATGTAAGTGGAATGTGTAACATATGTTAAATCCCATGTTTTATAAAGGAAGAGGTATCTAAATGTTTACCAAAGTAAGCTTTGAATCATGTTATTTTATCCCCAGGGACAGAGGGGCTATAAAGATTGAATTACCTTCTTTTTTAAAACTCACAAAATCTTGACTCGATATGCTATTCTCCTAAAATCCTGCTAATGGTTGATTAATAGTAAAAATTCTGAAGAAACTGGCTTGAGTATAAGTGGGGTGGGTACTACGTGGACATGTTCAATTTGAAATAGAGAATATGGTTTTTCTTACAAGTAGCCAGTTCTTGTTCTAACTTTGGTCTTTCTAACCCCAAGGCAGAGAAACAGCAGTTTCTGTGTAACTGACTTATGGAGAGACTGTCTGTGTTAATAATACAATAGTTTTGATCCACTCTAGGATAAAGACATGAGCTCTTTACTTTAGAAAGTGAAACTGTTCTTTCAGCAGTGGGGTCACCATACGGCTGTAGAATGAGTCCATTGTGTTGTGCCTGTTGTTGGCTCACTGTTACATGGAGGGAAAGGGCCTATCCGTATTCAGAAAACTGAGAAGTGTCTATTTAGGTCGTAGTGTAAATGCTATAAGTCACATTCTAGTTTTCTATTTGGTAGAGGTGCTTAGTAAGCGTAAGTAAAGAGCCAGGTTAACATCTTTGACATCTAGACACAGTGAACACCTGAGGCCATTGAGAGTTGAAGCCTCTCCCTGTAGCTAAAGCTGTGCTTCTCAGGTAGACAAAAATGCCACCTGCCGCACTTTAAGCACATATGCTGAATCTTATAGTACCTAACAGATATTCAGACCATGCCAGTATTAATTAATACAGCACATGCATGTACTTCTGCACACTTCGTAGGTTTTCAAGTCAATCTTCCTAATAGTGGGCAGTCAGCACCGGTACCCCTAAGGAGTTGACTTCTCTCTTGTAATTAACAGCCTTGACAAAAATCAGTCTGTAAAAGTATATATGCAGGATCTCATCTCAGAGTGGAGACAGGAGTCCCAGGACCCCTGTCTGTTCATCTCGGCCTTGCAGGCTGTCCTATTGCTCTGTTCATTGAAGAAGGAAAACTTACTTCTAGGAATGAATTTGCAAGTGAGATAATTATGTCTCAAAACAAAGTGAATATGCGGGAGACCTAAACCTTTGTAGGCTATATGTCTGAAAGTTTATATTAAGACAGTCAAGATAAAGCCTTGGAACATTAGCAATGGACTAGACCAGACCTCACAGGCAAGCCAGTTGAGTCATTCTCAGCCTCAGCTGCAAATTAGAATCACCAAGAAAACTTTTCAACTTTACTGGTAACTTGGTCCCACTACCTCTCATCCCTCAAATTCTGACTTAATTAGTCTGAGGTGGGATGCAGGTATCTTAACGCTTATGAAGTGATTCTGATACACAGCCAGAATTCAGAACCACCAACCTTGCCCAAACTCTTTATTTTATACACTGAAAATGAGGGCAGAGCTTTCCTGCTTTATTTACACAGAGATTTAGTGGCAAGTTTGGAAGAAGTCTTCCAGTCAGCTCATTCTCCTTTCCTGTCTGTCTCCCAACAGTGAGCTACATCCAAGTGTGGAAACAGACGTGAGGGAGAGAACACAGGAGTCAGTACAGAAAGTCACGTCCTGGTACCAGGAGTCAGACTTCCAGTGTGCAGGCCACTCCAAGTGCCAGATATGAAATAACTTTAGCAGAAAGATGATCAAATATATGAGATGTGGGAGTGTGTGTGCCATTTCAATAATAATCATGCAATAAATGAATATGAGAGAAGTACTGAGTTTACATTTGAAGAGTTCCTTTTTAAACTGTACATCTGTTGGTAAAAAATATGAAGTGTTCTAAAGAAACGTAAGTGAATAATGGTGTGCATAGCATGCAGTATGGCCCAAATCCTGAAGATGATCTCATGCCTTGTTTGGAAAACCTAGGTTAGGGAGACCTCTAGTGTTCCATTGTGGAAGTGTAACTTTTCCTTTTGAGCATTTTGCTAATTATACTGTTTAGGGATTTCCTGTCTCCAAGACCGACTCCTATTAAAACAACCTATTTCATATCACAAGTTGGCAGAAACTTAGTTTCTAAGAGAAATGCAAAGTTAGTCTCCCTAAGTAATAATAAATTGGCATGTACATTGGAATGATGGTTTAGAGTCCCCTCTATTATTCTGTATAGACTGATCCCGCTAGTGGCATGGAAGAGGTGCCTCCACCTAGTGGAGGTGAAAAATAATAACTGAAGGAAAGCATGTGGACTGTGCATGTTGGAACAATTACACTGCAGAATCAGGCTACGACATGTGAAAGACTTTGCAGATAGACTACTTCCCGGCTGTGTGGGCAAGAGAAAGCCGCCTACCTTCTCTGAGACTCCATTTCTTCATCTACAAAGTGAAAATAATTATGCCTACCTTGTAGGGACATTATGAATAGTAGAGGAGATGAGGGGCAAAGCTGTAGGTAGTTATTTTTATTATTACATGCAATATTGCTCACATAGATTTACACTGTAGGATTCTGATAAACTTCGTTTAATTTTAACATCAGAACCCTCCTTTAGTTAAACCTTGAGAATGTTTGAAATTAAGGTTCTGTTTGCTTTAGACAGATTGTTATCTTCAGTGTACCAAAGTAGCAATCTTCCAAGATTATTTTTATCTTATATGAGGATCTCATAAACAGCTATAAACTCTGGGTAGCTTCCAAGGAACACTTAAGATTTAGGATTACCTAATGTTTATGGTATTCATAGTGGTTTACTGCAGAGCCCTTTAAATGTAAACACATCAGAGGCTCAGTAGCAATTAATGTAGGCGATATATTTAGTCTTTGGCCTAATGATCACCGGAGTGATCCTCATGAGTTTTCAAAACATGGATTCTGGAATTCTGTACAGGTTAATACCTGTATTGCAAACAGTCTATTGAGAATATGAAGCTCTGGGGGATTCCAACCTTCCTTCCTCTTTGCATTCAAGAGTTATCAGTTTGTGGCATTGCGTACCATAAACAGAAACTCTTTGGGTTGACTCAGAATTTTAATGTATTAGAGTTATTTTCCCAGTGTTTTAGTTACATGTGTCAAAGTCTAGGAATTGAAGTTGTTTTAAACTTCTGACAGTTAAGTCATATTTTTTCCAGATGATTTTTTTTTTAGAGCAAGGTCAAGTTAGTGTCCATCTTCCCAGGAACAGTTTATATTAAGCCCTGCACTAAAACTGATGTTAAAAGGGAACATTTAGAGAAAGTTATAGTAGACCCATAGTATGGGATCAACAGAAGAATCTTGCTGACCTTTTGTTTTTCTAAGACTAATTTTGCCACATCCTCGTTTTGTGCAAGCCTGCGGAATACTCCAGAAGACAGCCCTGTGTCTCAGGAAGATCTTTCCTATCTGGCATGTTCTTCCTGGAAAGAAGAGAAGGAACAGGGGTTGCCATCGTGAAATCCCAGCATTGCCAAGCAGACTACAGGATTCTTAGTTTGTCTTATGACCCAAAGGACGGGCAAACACACCTTTTCCAGACTTACTCTTCTTGAGGAGACCTGAGATTAGAGAGATTAAAACCTCTGACAGCCCATAAGGCCTGTTAACTCAATGTGTTAGTCAAAGCAAACAAATTCGCCAGGGTAGAGTAACCCTTGGAACAAGTTCCCTCTAATGCCCCCACATCTCTGTGGTTTAGCACAACAGAAGATTACTGCTTGCCCTCATCAGAGTCCAGCGTGGCTAGCTCGAAGAATAGAGGATGTCTCTGCTCCATGAAGTGACTCAGGGTCCTATGTTCTTTCTATGTTTGAATGATGCCATCTTCAACCACTATGGGTACCAAAGCCATGGGGCTAGGGGAAGAAAGAGCGTGGAGGATCACACAAGAGGTTTTATGATGGGTTTGGAAGTACAAAATAATATTTTTTCGGGGGAAAGGGTATAGCTCAAGTGGTAGAGTGCATGGTTAGCATGCATGAGGTCCTGGGTTCGCATCCCCAGAACTTCCTCTAAGAATAAATAAGTAAACCTAATTACCTACCTCCACCAAAAATAATAATAATAATAATAATAATAATAATAATAATAATAATAATAATAATATTTTTTCTTGCATTCTTTAGTCTAGAACTCAATCACATGGTCCCAACTTAATTGCAGGGAAGATTGGGAAATGTGGTGCCTCTGAGTGCTCAGAAGGAAAATGAGTTTAGCAGACACATAGCATTGTCTGTGCCACAAAACATTTTAAAAAATTGCTTAAGTTTTCCATTGATGCCTTTTACTGACATAGAAATTTCTGTCATTGGCTAGATATATTACTAAACAATACTGAATATGATATAGATAATAAGTTAAATGCTCAGTGAGTCAGAAAGTCTAGTTGAAAAGCATAAACTTTAGAAGTTACAAATGGTATCAAGATAGCCTTATACATAGATTTTGTCATAAGTGCTTTTTTCTAATTGTAAAATTTTCTAAAATGTAACATCCGAAAAAGAATTGTCTTTACTAGAGAAAGGTCATGTTGTGAAGTGATTCTAGCATGAAAGAGGTCTGAAAGGAGTTTAACAATCTAAATGTTAATCCAGACTTTTGTCTTACTTCTTCATAAAGGATTTCAGACAGAAATGATGCTGCTAAGACATATAAAGCCAATACCTTGGATAACCGACTAACCAACAGGTACTAGTATCTGCTAACTTTGGGAAAGATTCAAGTACGATATTTTGCTAAGCATGACTTATTTACTTACCATTCTTCAATCCTACTTAATATCTTTCTGTAAATTCTTAAACTTTTTTTTTAACCACAAATGTTCTGATGTAAAAATCTTGACTCCTGCTTATGGTTAGAGAAAGACAATATCTTATTTTTGGCTTCAAAATCAAGAGAGTTCATTGCTTCACGCCACCATTCTCACCACATTTATGTTTCTGTTTAAATTATCCTGGTGGCAAGATTATGAGGTACATGTAAATGCCAATTTTGCATTCCTATTTTTAAAGAAAATTACTGAACCCAGCAAATAAAAACACTGGTCTTAAAGGATAATGAATTTTCTTAAAAAAAAAGAATTCTTTTGGGATCTAGTACACAAAAGGTAAAAAAAATCATGAAATCAACCTTTCAAATTTATTCAAATCCTAATGCTTTCTTTTTTCTTTCTCACAAATAATGTCTAACTTATGATAATAATAATGACTCTAAATCCATGGACAGTTGCAAATTGATGCAAGAATTCATTCTTTGTTGCTGATCAAACTTTGCCTTCTCTTTTCCTTACCAGAAATGGGTCCACGTTTCGATCACCGGAAGCGACAAAGACGTATGTAATTTTCTAACTGACCTTACATTTTAAGGACAAAGTGTATTTCTTCCTATGAGTCCAAGAAAAATCAGGGTATATACTGCCCTCAGGCCAAAGTTTTATTGTAATACAGCCATGCCCCCATAGCTTCAGCAACTTTGAGTAGTAGAAATACTGAAATGATCTGCAAAACTTCAAATATGTTTCTCTCTGGACTTTAATACAGAAAGTTTGATGACTTCTGCTCTAACCAAACACCAAATCTTAAGTCATTCTTTTTTTCTTTTCTTTTCAAAAAATCTAGATTTTTAACTTTTTTGCCTACAGAATTTTAAAAAATTTTCCCTACTCTGGTGGCAACTCCTCTTGTCATACATTTCACTTGCCTTCAAAAACGCTCATCACTTCTGCAACTCACTGAGTTATAAAATTATAACGTTGCTAGTGATCTATGTAGATGAAATATATTTTTCCCCTGGAATGTACTACTAGCAGTTATAAACAGCCAAATTAGGTAGGTTTTTAAAAACTTAGTTGGTTTTTAAATTTGTATCTACAAATAAAGTACTTTTCACACTGGACTGCACCTCTCAGTAGTTGAAAAAGGTCTGGGTATACTTCCAATGTTTTGAGGGTCTGCATATATTAATAAATACTAAATAGAGATTTAAAATGGTGTGGTTTTTAAATGTTTCCTTAAATAAGTTAGTGCTTTTAATGCAAACGTTGCAATATGATTCTGTTAGTCACAACATATACAGGTCAAAAAGTATATGAAAGAACCCACAGCACATTGGCATGGATCATTCTGGGTTTCAGACACACAGTTCATGTCACATAGTGAATGACTTCTTCATTCAGTTCCTTCAGTTTTAGTTATTTAGATGAGAGCCTGGCAATTTGGAAAACGGGTAAAGTCAGGAAGCACTTTTTCTATTGTTGCTCTTTCATCCTCACGTGAAACATTTTGGGATGGATTCAGAGCAGGTGGGAATGTGACTGGATTATAAGACCTCTTAGAGAAAAAGTTTCAGGAATGTGATCATTTTTTGTTCTTGTGATGAAACAGGCAGCCTGGAGGTTTGTTCAGCGCAAATGCCACCAACACCCCAGCTCCCACCGCTGCTACGACTCCTGTAAAGAAAAAGAGGTATGATGGGCTGATTGGGACTCTCTCTTGCTGACATTATGTAAAGGATTATTTTTTATTAATTTCTAAAGCAAATCATCCACCAGGGCCCCCAAGCAGCTTTCAGAAGTCGCTCTGCCCTTCTTCCAGTTCCCTTCTCTCCTTCCCAGGAATCCAGTGCCCGCTGGCTTCTGCTGTCCTCAAACCTCAGACCTTTTCCCCTTTAATCTCCTTTTCAAACATGCCATCTTTTTTCCTCAATTTTATTGATAAATAATTGACATACATCACCAAATAAATTTAAGGTGCACAGCGTAATACTTTGATTCACATGCATTATGAAGTGATCACCACAATAGGTTTAATTAACATCCATCATCTCATATTAATATCCATCATCTCATATAACATCCCTAATCTCAATAAAAAGAGAAAAAAAAACCTCTCCTTTTGGTGAGAACTCTCAGGATCTACTCTCTGAACAGCTTTCCTACATGTCACACAGCAGTGTTAACTGAGATCATCACATTGTACATGACATCCCTAGAACTTACTTACCTTGTAACTGGAAGTTTATACCATTTGACCACCTTCCTCCAATCACTTCCACCCCCCTGCCTCTGGTAACCACAAATCCGATCTCTTTTTCAAATATGCCATCTTAGGATCTTGAATAAGTAGGTAGGTAATGTTTTGATGATAGAGCCCAGATATTAAAGGGCAAGCTACTTCAGGTGACACATTTTAACAGAGTCCTCTGACAGGAAGTGCCTTACCCTGCGTAACAACGGCAGTGTGGCCAAATGTCACCAGGCTTGAAACCTGCCTGCGTGGTTGCCTCCTCCTCTGCTCTGCAGATTGGGCCATTTCCAAGCACGGAGTCAAAGGCCCTGTCTCGAGGTGTCAATCTATGTCTGTGTGTTTTTTCTTCTTCCTCCAACTCTCCCTGCATGGGCTCCCGCTTTAGCCTGTGGTAAGTTCCGTTTATCTAGCAGGCACGGAGGAGTAACTAGAACTCTGGGGACAGAATATCCTTATGTGACAAAAAATGTGATGGTGGAAGTGATTTTTGCATGTTGAACAGAGCACAATGCCCATGGATCATGATGCAAATGGGGAGCAAGCATCCACGATCCTCAGTGCTTTTGAAATTTCCTTACTCTCCTTACCTGGGTCTGTCTATGCCTGGTAGAGGATAGGAGGTGCTCAGTGACTGTTGGTGGACTGGCTGACGGTCACAGTGCTGCTGTCATCCTCCTGGAGAGCAGTAGCTGATTCTATCTATTGTCTCCTGCAGTCAGAATTTTGGTTGTATTTACAGAGTTTCAGAAAATGTGATCACCTTTCTCTTAGACCCACATTTCACATACCCATGGTCCTTTGTCTGTTAGGAAAGGTTGGAAGGAAAATTTAAAGTCTGTCAGTTCAGTCTCCTACCCAGTGCAAGAATCTTTCCTCTGGCAGGTTAAGTGTAATTCAGAAGCCAGCAATATGACTCCTGCTTCTGTGATATGCCTCTGACTGGCTCTCGGGATTGCTTCTATGACTTACATTGAACTGAGATCGGCTTTGATTTACTCCCATCACATCTTAGTTCAGTCCTGTGATGCCTCAGAGAATAGAGCTTCAAAAATGTAAAGGACTCTCCTGTCCTTATCCCAGACTTTCCTTCTCTAGGCTGTGTCACTCTCCTCGGCACATCTTCATTTTTGATCGATATCTTAGTCTTTTCGGCACAACTCTCAGCTTTCTCTACCAATTAAAATTACATCCTGGTAATGTGAAGATGTCTTTCTAATTGGATGGATATACATGTATTTGAATATATACATATGCATCTATACAAAACTTAGGTTAGCTTTGCTGTGGTATTCATTTATATTTTCAGTTTTCTTACTTGTCATAGTTTCCTATCATACAATTAAAAAAATATATGCTGAGTAGAGCATAGGATTGTTTTTACTTTTATTATGAACTGCTTCAGAAATGCAGAAAAATAGAGAGAGGTATGTTGATGATAAACACCCTTGAACCTAGCATCTAGATTCAACAAATGTTATTATTTTCAAGATTTCCTTTAGACTTCTTTTTAAAGAAATGTCTACATTGTTTAGTTTCAAAGGAAATGGTTAGAGAGGTTTACTTGGGGAGGCAGATAGCCTGGAATATAGACAATTCTTTCCCCGGGCAGGACATAAATAGTATTCATTTTATTTCCAAGACCTTGTAGGGAAGTCATCCTATTGCCTTTTTAACTACCAGTTTACTTTCAGCTTCTCCTGGTAGACATGTGGGTGGGATCAAACCTTTCAAACACTATGTTTATAACTGATGTCTTTTTCTTAACAGACAGTCCTGGTTTCCACCGCCCCCTCCAGGTTATAATGTCACTCCAAGCACAGGATCAAGCAGAAGGTAAGGGAAAGGTATCAGATGTAATTGCTATGTGATTTCATGGAAGAATGTGCTAGATATTGACAATGTATAATTGTGGATCCTTTGGAATAAACTGGAGGCAATTTTGTAAACTCTGAGCCCTGAACAAGATAGTGCCCAGGGGGAGTGAGGTCAGGATACAAGTGTCCCTGGTAGGAAATCTGACAAGCTTTGAGAAGTGAGTAAGTACCTGTATTTTTAGTTTACTAAGGGTTGCTGTAACAAAGTACCATGAAGTGAGTGGCTTAACAGAAATTTGTTGTCTCACAGTTCGGAGGCTAGAAGTCCAAGATCAAGGTGTCGGCAGGCTCAGTTCCTCTGAGGGGTATGAGAGGGAATCTGTTGCACCCTCTCTCCGGGCTTCTGGTGTTTTCCTAGGAGTCGCTGGCTTTCCCTAGTCCGTATAAGCACCCTTCCAGGCTCTGCCTTCACCTTTGCATGGTGTCCTCCCTGTGTGCGTGTCTGTGTCCAAATTTCCCCTTCTTACCAGTCATATCGGACGCGAGGCCCATCCAACTCCAGGATGCTCTCATCCTAACTCAGCTGCTAATGTCTGCAATGACCCTGCTTCCAAATAAGGTCACATTCGGAGGCCCTGCGGGTTAGGACTCCAGCGTGTGAATCTGGAGAGGATATAATTCAATCCATAAGAGTGAGAGAGGAGGGAAGAGAGGCAAGCACAAGGTGGGGCTCCAATGTGGGCTCCTGGTGCACAGCCATTTTTGCCTGTGACAAGCGCAGGTGTCTGGATGGGAGTATGTGTGGCAAGTTCTTTGTAAGCTCCTTAAGTGACAGATGGGTTGTCTTTTATTTTTTAACTTTTTGTTGTTGAGAGCAAAACTCTTACAACTGAAATTATAGACCATGTGCAAGATACCTTGTTCTACAATTTCCATGCTTAGGAATATCAACAACTATTTAATTTAAAATATTTAAGAAGTGATTATTGTGTCCAGATATTGTTCTAGGATCTTGGAATATATCAGAGAACAGATACAGAGCCCGCACTCAAGCCTGCAAAGAAGCAAACAAACATGTAGAACTCCCATAATCTATGCTTCACTAACACGCAAAGAAAACTAGGTCTCTGAGTTGGTTTTGCTTTAGGGTATCCAAAATTGCTTCCATGCCATCAGCCCCTAGAATATCTTCACCATGTATTTCCGTATTTAAATGGGATTCATTTTCCCAGTTCAGCAATTGAAAACGAGAGTTATGAAACAGTGTGCCTGTTTCATATTAGATTGCTTTTCTTCCAAAAAATTTTCATCTGTTGCGCAGGCTTTTTAATGTCTCTTTTATTTCCAAATAATAGGGATATTTGGAGCCAAATGTCTTATAATTTAGGTTGAAAGACATAAATAGACTTTAGTTGACAAATAGAAACCAAGAGCTCAAGTTGTCTTTTTCACACCTCTGGCTGCATCTGTATACATGTGTGTGTGTGTGGGGGGTGTATTATATTAAATGTGTTTAACGTATATATAAAATTTTTGAACATGTTGAACAATCACAACTTGGAATTACATCCACCTTCTGTTAAAACATTTTCTTTTTGAATCTGTTCATCTGTCGGTGATTTCCAGTTATATGAACTGCCAAGTATGGATTATATTTCTGATTTAAAACCTTCTTTCCCCGCAGGCTGTGTTTAGATATTTCTCCATGAATGATACCCTTCATGGAGCTACCTAAGTGGGAAAATACTAACTATGGGTTCTGCTAGTTACATTGTCCCCTCAGCACTGTAAGTTTCATCCAATTTTGACATGATAGAAAGTAACATACTTAGAAATACTTATTTCCAAAATAACTCCTTATTTTTATCTTCTATTCATTATTCCATTATTAATGTAAATTATCATTATAATAAGCAACTGGTTACATAACTGTATGGAGATATGGAAAGATTATTCATGAGTTAACATCTCATGCATTCAGCACCCATCAAGCTGTGGATCTCTGTTTGCACAGAATTGATAGTGCTTGGCTGTGTGCCCTTAAAATTTATGCATAGCTGGGTTGATTTACATGGAAGATAAAATAAGTTACAATGCTCCTATTTCTGATTCCTGGATCAGATCCATAGCCCCGGAACTAAGGGAAAGAGACTGTTGGACAAGGTTGATGAATTTAGTACCCATTCCTTTTTTAGAGTCACAGATTATTAATATAATGGCTAAACTAAAAGACTTCTTTTTGGGGATCAGAGCTACTGTCATGCCAAGCTTTCAGGGGAAGGAGAGAATAGTAACAATATAGCAGTGCCTTTGATTTCTAAAGTGCTTTTCTTTGGAAAGGCTCAAAGTACAGCTCTATTTCTCACCTTGAATGCCAGTGCATTCTCAGGATGGAGAAATAGCCTTTTGAGTAAAAGCTGAAAAACAGAAGCAATTATTAAATGATGAAAGGAAACAAAGGCTTCAAAAAGAGATCTTTGTCCCCAGAAGAACACAAAGAAAGTGAAAATAGGTCAAAACCAGATAAAAATGGAGGACTGCGATTGTTTAATACTGGCTATTAGCGCAATGCTAACCTTATGGTCCTTCATCCTTAACTTATTCACTGGTCTTCTCCCTTTCTCTCCCCTCCTGTCTTCTGCAAAAGAATTTCCCCTTAATACTAACACTCGCTCTCATTTCTTTTCTTCATTTTGTGACCCTTCATTTTTCCATCACCTTCCCTTTCCCAGGGATTTCATTTTCTCCCCCACACCCCTGTTGGTGGAGCACATTTGGAAAGACCACCAGACTTCCCAGCCATTACAGGATTGGGTCGTTTTCCTAAATACTTTTTTCCCCTTGACCTCTCCATGGTCTTTTACACCATTGTCCACCCCGTCCCTCAGTTTTTCATTTCTTGACTTCCATAGTGCCGAAGAACCAAACTTAGTTGTGTTTGGGTTGATAACTTGTGTTGGTGTGGTGTTTGGATTAAAATATATTACAGGCACCGGATAAGCTGCACCCAAAGGGTCTCAAGCTTTTTTATCAACAGAAGAACCCATGGTATCACATTTTTGTCGGTATTTACATGTATATCTATTCCTATGACTCTAAAAGTCTCAGTTTATAGCTATTTCAATCTATCTATCTATCTATCTATCTATCTATCTATCTATCTATCTATCTATCTAATGGATGTACTGGGGATTGAACCCAGGACCTCATGCATGCTAAGCATGTGCTCTACCACTGAGCTATACCCTCCCCCTCTATATCTATTTCTATATCTATGTCTAGAACTATGTCTACATATAATTCTCTCTGTATAATTAACATAAGAGTGGGGAGTTCAGCTAGAGCTTTAATGAGCAACTTAAATTTTCTAAAATAACTATATTTTATAGCTAAAGAAGAAAAAGCAATTTCTTAAAACAAGTATCATTTGATGTATAATATACATAAGGGTTAAGACCTCAATGAGTGAACACAATTTTGGAGTTGAGTTGAGGATCGTTGAAAGCCTCTTGCCCCCTTGTTGATCAAACAAGATTAAA